ACGCCTTTTATCCTCGAACGGGTAGGTGGTGCACATTACCGCAGTTAAAGCTACTTTTAACTTATAAATATTACTCCGCGTTCAAGGATATCTATCTCTCTATTGCGTAAAATGGAGTTTTTAAGTTAAAAGTGAAACTTACATGTTTTATGCAATAAAAATATCCACATTTATTACTTACTTATATTTTCTTTTATTTTTGTGATACGTAACCGCTACGCCGTAGGTGATATTCTACTACGCCGTAGCATTGTTATCCTTGTAGCTTTTAACATTCAAAGGAGTATGATTTTTCCTAATTTTCCATGGAAAATAGACTATGGAATAACATCCGTCTAATAACAAACAAACTTTTGGCAACGAAAATAGTGAACTAAAAGGATCTTTCTCGCCAGAGGCAAAAGCGTAGTCAGTTTAAAACCAATGTAAAGTAAACTTTGTTACATGGTACTAAAGTTCCTAGTCCTATATCATAAAATTTATTGTCTCTACAGCCCTTAGGTAGGTTTAATATAACCCCAGACAACGCTACATAAGCATATTTTCGGCACTGGTTTACATATTTTCACTTCGTAGCCCGTAACCGCTACGCGGTGGTACTACGAGCTACGCCGTAGTTCACCCTCTACGATATTTTATGTAACATTTTATAAATGTTACGTTTATCTCAGTTCGAATGGTTTGCGTGACTGAAAGAATAAATGGGGGAGAATAAGTCGTTTTTATTCATACTAAGTACTAGTATTGAATACAGAATTTGGTACAATATGTGTTGTCTGTAGTCTAGTAACGATTTTAGTAACAGTTAATGTTGTGACAGTTTTATTATAACAGATACAAATACAGATATAATCACAAAACATAGATGGTCAATATAATACCATGAAATGTAACATCCCATTGTACCTATGTTTACAAATAAATATTTTCTTTTTCATTTTCATTAGTGATATTCTAGAATTGTTTTAGTGATGTGTTTTCATTATATCAGCTGATCTATTAGAATTTTAATTAGATTAACGTTAAAAGCTATAGAATATCCATCGCAGCTTAGGGTCGAATAAAACAGTGCCAGTAACATAATGTGTCAATGTCATTGTACTAAGGCAAAGCAATTGACGTCACACACAATGCTCCCCACGGTGACCGATTATACAAAGTGATGTTATCTGTTTTCAACACCATTTGAAGATAAATATAACAGAAATACTGTTTTATTTTACTTTAGTAGTACAGTGGATACAAAACCTACTACTGAGCACAATGATACAAGTACATTTAAGACTTTATAAGTGTGAGAGAGCCATGCTTCGGCACGAACAAATGAGCCGGCTCGACCGGAGTGATACCGCGGCCTCACAGAAAACTGACAACCGACGGGAAGCGCCCGTGAACCGACGCTTGCGTTGTGTTTCGTCGTGTGAGTGTGGTTACCAGAGGCCCAGTTACAGGTCCACATTCCGGTACTTAATGCCACTGTACAATGTGACACCTACTTTCCACTATGTTATGAGTCCCATGTATTAGGGGGTGAGCCTATTGCCATATACCGGGCACGATTCCACGCTCTGACTACTGAGATTTTTTTTATAAAACCCAATAATTTTACCCGACCTTGCCCGGCAGTCCCATTTGCGATCACTCGCCAACGAGGCAGTTATATAAATATATTCGTTATTTCAATCAGATTACTTTCTCCCTTGAGCAAGTAATTCTATATCGCTAATTAGCTGTTTCTAAACAATAACTTGATACATGTTTTCTATGTGTGGGTTGCAATTGTTTTGTCTTTACCGTGTTATTAACTCCGAGAAATAATAGAAATATGAAATAGAAATGATTAGGTAAAGCGATACATTTGTTTTGTGATCTATAAACTTAGACAGTTAATAAACCTTACAAAAGGTAGTATGTGTTCATAATCATCGGCCAGATATAGTCTACTACTGGTCTATAAGCCCATAGTGTTACATGAGATCATACGGCAAGCTATTGTCAATATTTATAACACAACATAAATCACGCCTTTTATCCCCGAAGGTGTAGGCAGAGGTGCACATTACAGCACTTAATGCCACTGTACAACACCCACTTTTCACTATTTATGTTATGAGTCTCATGTAATAGGGGGTGAGCCTATTGCCATATACCGGGTACAATTCCAGACTCCGTGCTACTACTGAGATATATTTTTAAAAACCCAGAAATACTTTGCCCGACCCGGGAGTCGAACCGCAGGCCCCTTGCTCGACAGTCGCATTTGGGACCACTCGGCCAACGAGCCAGTGAAATTGTCAATATTTAATATCGACTATTTAAGTACTTTAAGATTAATATTGTGTTCATCCACTGAAATGGAATCAGAAAGAAAATTCTCCAAAAGAAGGAAACAAAAGAAATTTTATCACAGTACTTGACTCATCTGGACACTTAACACAATGGCGACAAATCTTCTATCCGAGTGACTTCACTTCACAGTTCCCGTTGTCAAGTGGCATAGCTGTATTTAATTTTAGGGACTAGATTGCCACGTGGGCGATTTCAGCCGGCTACATGATTGGCCACCTGAATAATCAATAAGGGAACTAGAGTCGGAACTGAAATAACACATCGACTATGACGCCTGGTACTGTAATAATTAATTTTGGAACCAATTCCCAGATTGCCAATTTAGCTGGTTATGTAACAGAGCGTCTAGTTTATTAGTTTTTGTGGTAGTTGTACTTACTTAAATTGATTTGGTTTTTGGAGTTGAAAAGAATTAATTATTATGTTTTCGGCTTACTCACGTAATTGTCTGACGAGGAACTCGACTAGTTTCAAGCTATGCTAGAGGCTCATATTCATGAGCAGCATTCCGCGAAGCGGCGACTGGCGCGCTGCTACTCTTGGAAACAATAGTTATTTTATATTATGTTATTATTATTTATTTTTCTTTAAATCACACAGGTAAGTATGTTATAATTTAAGCCCCACAAAACCGTGAGGCGTTATTGTTTATAGATAATGGATATATTAAACAAAATGATTTTGACGAAAAAATGTTTGACGAAATGTACAGTAAAACGTGCTGTATTTTCAATTTAAATCTGTACAAATTGTTTTAAAACCAGATTTTTTTTAAGTTACAACTTTTAATATAAAACCCTATTACCATACTAAACGGCTCAAATTCCTAAAACAAAAATTGACGCAAGCCTACCATCGACCTCACTCCGTCAGTCTACTATCAGACTAATATATTCACCACTCCCACAGCAAACATAATTTGTAAGTCAATTACTGTGAAAGTGACGGTTTACATACAGTACTGGTACACATATATCTACCCTGTGGCATTGTGACGTCACACTTCTCTTTGCCGCCTATATTAGTTACCTATCTAAAGCATTTAGGGGTTGATATATGTGGTTGTGATTAGCTAATTACGCCCAAGAATAGTTCTGTCATTTGCTGGTAAAGGAAGATGGATGTATGTTGTTTCATTTTGTTTTACTATGTAGAAATTTAACTCTTAAAATAACATTTATCACAAATATTTCCGTTTTATAATAACTATCGTGAGACATACTAAATTAACTAAAATCACGGGTTACTCACGTGAATATATTGAGAACAGCTCTACTAGTTTCGAACCACAGAGGGGCTTTTCCTCATGAGCAGCGTCTGCGATTCACGTGAGTAACCTGCGATTTTAGTTAATTTAATAAATAGTTCCGTCTTTTGTTAATGGAAAAATATTAAAAGCAAGTTTTGCTAGTCTCGCTTTACTTTTTTATTTGAAGTAAGTATGTGAAATGTATTAGTTAGTATTATTTCATTTATTGCCATTGTGAAACTAAACACACAAATGTCAATATTAATCACCAAGGTAATTACACGAGCTTAGCCATTTAGACGTCGCGTAGTAAAATTACTGCGTTCATTAAATATTTATTAAAGTGTAGGCGCGTATCTAAGGGCTTTCGACTTGTTTACAAATTCACCACATTACAAGCGTTGAATTTGAAACACATAATCAGATCCTCGCCACTAGTTTTGTATTATAATACTCGTAACCCCGTTGTACATTTCTTGGCTCACTGCCATCTCATTAAAAATTCTCTCTTTTCCGTTACAGATTCAAACTGCCGTCAACCAACCTGCCAACTCATCTCAATAACTTTGTGAAGTGTTTGAATATGAACTTTAAAATGATAGAAGACAATTGACAATTCGCTCTCCTCCGGTAGAGTGAACCAACCACAATCTCGACATTCACTTCGGACGTTGCTGATATGAATACGTCGCACTAAGCGGTTTAGGGCTAAACAGCTCTCCCATACACATTCGGACCATCAATGCTAAATTACAGACTGGTGTCAACGCATTTTTTGAAGCAGCCGTAAATTGTTAAACGCCGACCTTTCTATTGACTGTGTGTGCCGTGCCAATATGTGTCGTGATCGGGACATGTCTGAGCAGAGAAGTGACATCATCAAATAAGATTACGAAGTTCGCCACAGACTAACGTGTCTATAGTCAAGTGTCAAGTTTCCCGTCAAAACGGCGCGCGTTTTCGCTCTGCCGTTTCGTTTTATTTCTTTCAATTTGTTTTACATCAAAGGATAAGCAATAGCCCGGTGGTTTAGTGTTTGGTTGTGGATCATTGGTTGGGGTATCGCCCAAAAGCGGGCCTCAGTGCGACCCTGGCCAGCCGTACCAGAGAAAACATATCCAGGATCTTGGATTCCATAGTTGGTGCTGCCAGATACTGCATTGTGAGTATGTTAATGTAATATTATTAAGTTATATAAATTATGTTAATTTAAATACAACTTGTTACAAGGGAAGTTTGTTAGGTCGCATCTGTGAAGGTTTTTGTTTGAGCCATAGACGATGAAGCTTTTTTTTTAGATGCGTTCAGTTGCGTTAGTGCAAAACATGGTTTAATTTCAGAATCGTCCCATTAACGGCTGAAAACTTTTGGAAATTGGGAATTATTTTCCGAGTTAGCGAAAATGGTACAATTGGAAATTCTACAGGTATTTCTGAAAAATTAGATACTGGGGCTTCACATATCATTTAGTGATTTTAACAATATAATAGTTTCTCGTTTTATAAATATAAAATTTAGCTTATACCTATACATATACGCTTTGCAATATATACGTAATTACATGGGTACTCTGGGAATACTAATATGTATATTATATGCCAATATTAACGGTTAGTTAACTAACAACTAAGTAGTAGTTGCCTACAAGTATTTGAGTTGCTTGCCCAAACTGACCCGTGTACATTGTGTAGGTGACAGCCGAGTAGTAGATGACCAAAGCTTACAATAACCCGTGACCCTTGATAGTATTAGATATACATAGCTTTAAGCAAAGATATCCTTACTTAATATGTACCTACGTATATATCTATACAATTTTCTGTATCATACATGATCTACACAAATCATTCTCCTCACTATTCGATATGAATCGCAAACATCAGCTTAACCCACCACTCCAGAATCAACCTTGTTTCTTGACACTAAGAATTGACATTTTTCCGCACATTACACTGACATTAACTCATCCATATACGTTAGGGGTACGGACAGGAAAGTGAGCGCTCGAGCGAGCATCGGGTAGTAATATCTGGGCTCGGCTGGCGTGCGCAGTGCTCGGAACGAGAGCGCGAGAGGACTGAAGACATGGCGGCGCCCGAGTGCGAGCGAGAGGCCAGAAAGAGACGCGAGCGCCGCGACTCGGGGTGCGCGCACGAGCGCAAGGAGCGCCGCCCGCACAGCGAGGAGCGCACGCCGCCCCCGCCGCCGCCGCCACCGCTCCACGACCATAACCGAATCGAGGTAAGGAGTTCATGAATTCAAGACTTACCCTAAAAATTACAATTCCTGCATTAACTGAACCTTTTGGAACAAAGTTCCTCAAGACCTATCATCATCTCCGGAAAGGTTGACTGGAGGATTGTACAGTCGTACTGTTACAGAAATAAATTTGGATGATCTTCCTCAATATAATATCCACAATCCTATTTGCCTCGCAGTCAGAACGTCGTGCTGAGCGGCTGTCCCGCGCCCGTCGCCCACAGTTCGGTGGCAAGCGACGTCGTCCACCTACCAGGGTCTCCAAACATCCTAAGGAGAACGAATGCTTCACTACATCTGAAGAGATCCGATGTAGCACACCGCCTCACTTCGATTATGTTATTGTGCAGAAACCACAACGTAAGTATCAAAAAGATAGAAATGGCACCCAATAAGTGCTGCTGCCACCATAAAAGGCTTCAAATGCCTAAATCTATGTTGAAGTATCAAGTTTTACAGAAGTAACACCACAGATGCCATAACCTTAAGCTTGCGTAAGTTAAAATTTTGTGGTGTTATATATTTATCAAAAGTGGACCAGGTAAGCCGGTTGTAATGAAGGTCGAAGGCGCAACTCTTGCTTCTATAGCCCCGGTGTAACTTATATGTCAACAGTCATTGTACGCGAACAAGCAGTGGGTTCAGGTAGAAGATTGTTGCAGTATGCGAGGAACCGGAGACTCTGGACGCTGGAGCGCTGCATCGAGTGGCAGGTCGCACAGAGAGTGCCGTTGAGGAGGGCGCAGCTCTATGCGCGGAGGCCGAGCGAGCCCGCAGCGATGAGAGGAGCGCAGCCCCACTCAACGTCGCACGACGTGAACCGCCTGTGCCTGACCGACAGCTTGAAAAGATCACTAAGAAGGTATGTTTGTATTGTACTGAAAATGAAACCGTTTGTCAACTAAACAAAATTGATTACGAAAGTGTAAAAAGTTCCATGATAGAGCATAACTTCAAATTTTCAGATTTCTGTACTCAAGAAAAACATCACCAAGTATGAAAATGATTTTGAATCCAAGAATGGCCATCCTTTGACTCAGAGTGACAGGATAACAGATGTGGCGTTGACGCGTATGAACGAGACGTTACGCAGACTTCAGGCTGAGAAACGTCTCATCAAGACTGATCCCGTGGAGTATGCCTTGAAGGTACAAGCAGCTAAACAGCAGAAAGAAAGAGACGACAAACTTGAAGAGTCGCTCAAGAGTGATAAACCTATGGCTGATATCGTAAAAGATATCGAAGAGGTAAATTCCTTAAATCCATTCATTGCTTAGCGCCGGTAGTAATTCATCTAGCGATTCAGGGTAAAGTATAGCAATCATTAATAGTTTTTAAGGCTAAAGATTTGCTGTTGATTGTCGTCCATAATTTTTAGAAATTTCTGTGATCATTTCTTAGTCACGATAAATAAATAAATTTTTATAATTGGCATTTAATAATCGATTTTTCCAAATTATTTGCGTAACTGGATGACATTGGATTGGACGGTCAGGTAGGTGTCTGCTCGGATTTATTGTGGGCCTTTCTCCAGTGGTTAGAGGGCTGTCGCCAGGCGGCAGGCCGGTCGTCGGTGGGCGAGGGGAGCTGGACGGCGGCGCAGTTGGCGGCTGAGAAGCTGTGCGTGCAGCGAGTGCTGCTGCGGCTCGAGGCGGCCCGAGGTCGGCCCCCTGCGCACTCCGCCGAGCGCGGCGCAGCTCGACACCTCTACGAGCGCTACAGAACCGTCAAAAGAGTGCTCGCGTCCTCTAGGCCTGACGCTGTAAGATTTATAGTCGCTTCTATCTTTTATCGGCATGTAGTAAAGTAAATGTAAGTAAGTACTTCTATGACTTGCTGACTGGTTACTGTTCTGTATGCCCAGCTTTTAAAATATCTGACAAAGCTGTGTAATACTTAAACATACAGTCAATAAAATACATTGCGGGACTTCTTAGAGACTTTGAAACTCGAAGAAAAGGTTCTCATGATAAATTATTTTTTTGAAAACAAAAGGAAGATAAAATAGATCACTCATTTCATACTGCTTTAAATGTGTAGTCAATTAGAATTCTAGCATACTTTGATATGGTTTCTGTAATTTTAATTACTTAATTCAGATCATAGGCTGCGTTAACGGTGAATTGGCAACCATTCACGAGCATGAGACCATGCTGTTCAACTCCAGCGTCGACAGCTCCAGTGACTCACAGGAGAAGCCATCAGATTCTTCACAGGTAAACATAAGATTGCTGTCACGACTATATTTAAAAAATTCTCGAAACAGAAAACAAAACTGGTTTTTATCTCAGCAAGCAAAAGGTACTGGTTTGAAATTTGTTATTTTTCTGCCTGATAGGTAACTTAAGAATAAGTGAGCAAGATAAGACCGACCTGAAACCCTAAGCAGTGGTTAATATTTCCATGGTTTTTCATTTTCCAGGAGACAACAGAGACTCCTCTCCAGTCACCACCGAATCGTGATGGTGCTGCACCAGGAGAAGAGGTCCCGTCCTCCACATCATCAGCTCAGTCTGCTACCAGCGAAGAAGCCACACCTTCGAACGAGGGACTCCATTGTCTCAGCGTTGATGAACTAAACAAAGCTCTCACTGAGGCTAAGATGCAGAAATCAGTAAGTCTAATTTATTTTTGCTTGCTTTGCTTTGCAAAATTACGAAATGAAACAGGAATTTTCATGACAAAAATAATTTTAAGTTCAGGTTTAAAGTTGAATTTAACAGAACATGGAAGTGTCCCCACATAAGTCTGGATAAGGATTTCATCATCATCATTATCATCATCATCAACAGCCTATAAATGCCCACTGCTGAGCAAAGCCTCTTCTCACAAAAAGTCACATTGGTACTTGCCGTTGGTAGGCTTCGGACCTGCACCCTCATGCATGAGAAGCGGGCGTCTTAAACCTCCGGGCCACCACGTCCCACAATATCCCACCGGATAAGGATTTACAGTCTGTTATACGCGGTTAGAGACATGAATGCTTTCACGCATAAATAAAACTATCTACACCCTAAAACATCCATGTAAAATGGTATCTCATCTGTAGTTTTAATCTGTTTTATAATTTTAGATCTTACGCCGCACTATTAAAGACTACGAGGTGAGCTTCGAACTCCAGAACAGCAGGAAAGCGCAGAGAGACGACAAGAAAGGTCACGAGGATGAATACTGCAAGTACAGGTCTGTCAAGGCCAGGATTAAACTCATCAACGCACTCATAAACAAACAGAAAACACATTCCAACAACAAAACTCCAAACTAAACCATAATATGTAGTAGCATTAAGGCTCAAAATTGTATTTAAAGGCCTCGATCTTCCCGCTTCAATGTTAAGCACACGCGACAGCCCTAAGTCGTATATGGTTGTCACTTATAGACTGTTTCATGTTTTATAAATATGATGATTATAAAAATAAGTATTTTGCAGCTGTCTCGATGTTATTGGTGTTCATTTCTCGCAAACTTAAATAAAATATAGTGTACAGATTAGACAACAGTAGATAGACATGATCGTTTACTACTTTACGCAATATACCTTATAATTTAAAATACTCAATGATTCGAATGTAAAACCTTTATTATATAATTAAATATGGCGTCGTAAAATCTAGTGCTTCCGAAATAGAATAATTTGTGTACCTACCATTATATATTTATGTAATCAATCATGCCCCAATGTATTTTGGGAAAAATACAAAATTTTCCATTGCAAATTGCAGCCCAATCTTTAGTTTTCTATTTATCAAATTGTATAGTGCCAAATATTGTCATTCTATACAATTTTGTGGTTGTAAATAGTATTAATTAGCAGATCAAAATATGTTAAGCATTGTTCAAAATATTTACAGTTCATGAAAAAAAAAATATTCATTTATAAGTGTTTAGGGGCTTGTTACCCTATGGGTTATTAACTATGCAACTACCCCAATGTATTACCTATTCCAATGCGTCAATTTTTGGCATTGGATTTTTGACTTCGTATCTAAGCGATAAAGTTGAAAATCTAATAAAGAAATTAGACAGAAAAGAGCAGTTTGCCTACTGTACATATAATTCATAGGAATTGCTGTAGTGCTGGTACTAGTAGAAATATTACAAAGATATAAAAAGGTAACATTGTAACTCTTGACTCTTCACTGCCCTACACTTGACTTTCGACTCGTAACTGTAACAAAGTCATCACACTGATTTTCAATACATTTGACCATAAAATAAGTACGGGTTCTAAAGCAAAGTACAAGCAGCCTACCTATAAGAAACTATATTATAAATTCATATAAACACGTTAATGTTTTAATATTTCATATAATTTATACATGTAATAATGATTATAACAATATTGATGTTTCGTACAATTAGTTGCAAAAGTGACATACTTCGATATTGTAGCTGAAATTGGTGTTCTTTTTATTAGATGGTTAAGATTTTAGTACTTTTGCAATTGATTGTACTCTTGTAGAAATAGGGATGGTAATTCCACACTTTTGTGGAGAAAATGGACTCGATTGGTTTGTCTGATGGTTTATTTTACTGGTTTGACAATATGGATTCTATATATGAAACATGGCTAGACGAATGACGACAATCTTGCTATGTAAGGACTATTGATGTACATAACAAACTATGACAAATTAAAATAGGGGAGCTATAAGAATTTTCGATCATATACCCCTATATATTAAATCTTATAAATGTTAAAACTACTTATATAAATAGTTATATTACTATTATATGTGTATAACTACGAGACCTGAGAAAGTAGAGGAAATCTCGATGAGACCAAAGCTTCACGCTTTGGAAATTTGGATTGACGATGTCGAAGAAATTGAAATACAAAAATAATCGAGTTTATATATAACTTTACCGCCTAAGACTTTATTAATGTCGTAAACTTTACGTTGCTTTGTAATTTTGTATTAATTTTCTTCCTTTATATGTTTTTTGTATTGTATTGTATTGTATACTGGATCTCATAATTGTGTGTTAGAATTTTGAAGCTCTTAGAAGGGCGAAACTTTCGTTCTCTTAAAGAGAATAATAGCAGTTAATATATATATATTTATATATGTATTTAGTGATAAAGTACTTACCTGTGATTTTATTGTAACAATCAAAATCTTGTGTGACAAGAACTTGGATGTTTTACTAAACGTTGTGGTAGATGTTAGTTGACGATTTTACGTTGGACAAAATTAATTTGTATTTCGCATTGTTTTGAACAATATCTACTATATAAATGGATGAGACTTGATAAATGGTTTATTGTAAACCTAAAGTAATGTCTATATAACGTTATATATTAATGAATACGAGATAATTATGATGTTTAGATACAATATGTTGATTGAAAGCATTGTGCATTAACTGTCTTATTACAAGAACTTTATAGAAACAGAAATATAGCACAGATAAAAAAGTATTTGAAATATATCTCTTTCAGTGTTATAATGCTTTAATCAACGTCTTGTTTGTCGCTTGTCAAGAAGGCAAGCAGTTTTAATACCTAATTATAATGATTGCTTTGCAATATAATATAAGCTCTGCGTATACATATATGTGACAAATCAAAATGGATATCATATCAATGTTTCACAACAGTTATCTATTTGTACCAAGAATATGTAAATTAGTATTTTTTAAGTTATGGTCCCGAGTCCCCCGCCTATATTAGCCAAGCACGAAGCCGTTTGAATGAATATAAGTATCAAATAATACATTACATGTAATTAAATGTTTGTCTGTGCAGTTTGGACGCAGAATGCATGATATTGTAATCATATACAGTCAGTAGAGTTCCGCAACTTGCCACTTATATTCATATAATATTTAAAATAAAAAATAGAACAACTTTGTTTTGTTTTATTTTAATTTCCCTACTTAAAACTTTAACAATTCTCATATTTACATAATATATGAATAATACTAATATATATTTTCTTCTTTAGTATTTAGGTGCAAAATTTCTACTAAATGATACAAAATTTTCATAAATATTCATCTATTACTTAACGAGTTCTAGGTGGCTCCTCAATTCAAACGTTTAGATTGAGGAGCCATGTTTCCATTAAAATGACTAGTGATATATTTTGCTGCTAAATCTAGAATTCGTGCTGCAAAATAAGCTAAACAGCTGCTAAATAATGGCGAGATCAGAATTATAAAAAAATATCTGATGTGGCTCCTCAATCCTTACGTACATAATAAACTTACACTAGGAAATGCTTAGCAGCTCCTGATACAACTGAAGAGCTAACGTTCCCTTCAGGAAATAAATAGCATGTTGCAAAGAGTATAATAAGTATAGGGGAAGCATGTTGTTTTTTATATGAACGAGAGCCTTTTTCCCTTGCGTGTAGGTATTTTCAAATGATAATTATAAACATTAACAAAACATCACATCTTTTATCTCCGAAGGGGGCAGGCAGAGGTGCACGTTACGGCATTAAATGCCGTAATGTACCACGTAGCACAACGTATTGCCATATAGCGGGCACAATTCCAGACTCCGTGCTACTACTGAGAAAGTTTTAAAAACAAAGTATTAACTTGCCCGACCCAGGATTGAACCCGAGACCCCTTGCCCGGCAGTCGCGCATGCAGCTGCTCGGCCAATGAGACAGTAATCGTTATATTGTTTTAAAATATTATTTTAATACTAGCGGACCCAACAGACGTTGTCCTGCATATCCACTTGAATGTATAAACAAAAATTCATTCAAATTAGTTCAGCTGTTTAGGATAAATAACCTAAACATCGACTGCAGCGCCATCTGCCGGGCTGATTTGTGAATCTAAACCATACCCAGATCCCCTTGAACACACACAAAAAATTTCATCAAAATCGGTCCAGTCGTTTGAAAGAAGTTCAGTGACATACAAACTCACAGAAGAATTATATATATAAAGATATAAACACCTAGGTATATACATAATTAACTTTTATCGTGGTCATAATCAACAGCGCATCAAAGTCAACTAGGCAGATGAGATGATTAGGAATATCAATAACTACAATAAAATATCAAAAGGCCGGTAACGCACTTGTAACGCCTTGCTTGGTGTTCCAGGTGTCTATGGGCGACGGCGATTGCATACCATTAGGTGATCCGTTTACCGGCTTATGCCATAAAAAATATAAAAAAAAGTTGTAGTAAATAATTAAATTAATAAACAAACAATATTATATCTAATCAGCAGTAGAATAATTGATAATAATGCAACAGTTCTAACATACAAAAGAGTTGTGTTATAAAATTTTCCTAGCTTCGACATGTTATCAGCAACTGAGTCAGATGTTTTGATAACCCCACAGCAGTTTATCAGGGAGTACGAGCTAAGGTCACGTATGACAAACGTAGTTACGTTTCTAGGCGATGTCAGGCATCCGTCATGTATTACCACCGAATTACTCAATGTTATAAAAAAAAAGTGACAAAATATACGCACGGTGGCCTGCAAGGTGACCTATCCTTTTTTGTTAAATCTATTACATTGTCAACTTTATTGTATTGACATAAAGTCCAATGATTAAATTTTACAGATTGGAGTAGCTTGATCTGCCGGCCACTGTACCTACTCCTATTACACAACATCTGGACAAATTGCTGCAAATTTAAGTGACACATTTTTTATGAAAAAATGTCGAATTAAATTGAATCATTCGATATTTTAGAACAGATTTGAAAAACAAATGATAATACGCTGCTTCTACAAGCTATACCTAATTTACACGGAAGACAAAACCTAACTCCCAATCGTAAAAGGTCACCGCAATTACAGGGAACTTGATAATTCCTAATGATGATAATGAAGTGACTAAGAGTAAAGGACAATCGTTGGTTTCCTCTCCACCCACGAATCACTGCTCTACATCATTTGTGACAAAAACTATTTAGCCTAGAGTGACCTTTACCTAAATGGTCCTAAGACCTATTTTGGGACGAAACCTAATAAATATATAGACAATGATGATAACTCATATTAGTAAGACTGGTTATTACTGATCATCGAAGGATAATTACACAATGTAATTTAAAAATTCTATCTTCAATTTGTCTGAAGTAATGTCCAAATACTTAAACACCACTAAATTTTAAGACGCATTTAAGTAATTGTATTTCTTCGGTTGCCAAAGAAGAGAAAAACAAAGTATATTTCTGTCACTACAAACTCTTTGTAAAATGACAGAGATGGCACAAGTCAAAATTGTAATTGTGGCCTTTCAGTATTCGGGCGTAAGAATCAGTCCAATACTCGTTACGA